ACCTATTGCAATAAAACGGCAATTTCATACTTTAACCCCTAATATTAAGAAAAATATTATTTTTTTTTTATTAAAAATAGTGAGAGACATAAAATTTATACGAAGAATAAAAATAAACTAGCAAGAACAACAGTCGTCTTCACAAAATCTCAAATTCATGTAAGGGGCAATGTATACACTGTGTTCTGAAATCAAAATTTGCCATTTAAAACTATAGTGAAACGATAACTTTATACTAAAGGTTACACGCTCACACGCTCACGCGCTCACGCGCTCACGCGCTCACGAGCTCACGAGCTCACGCGCTCACTCCCTCACGCACTCACATGCACACACGCAAACACACACACACTATTGTTTTGTTGCTTTTGTTTTATTCCATTGTATTCTTTTCTTTTGAATTCTCCCCACTCTCTGTAATTTAGAACATGGTAACGCTTTCATATTTTGTATAATACAGTGCGAAATCTGATTGGTGAGTGCCTGGAGATCCGTAACACAGGTCCAATCCTAGTATGGTCTCCAGGTTCTTACAAAGATGTATTAATGATATGTCCATAATTGTTAATTACCTATTTATGGGATAACTTTGTAAGAGAGAAATACAGTTTATTATTATTCTTATTATTATCATTGAGTTCTGTTAATAATTCCGAAATCTTTGTAATATGTACATTATATTCTGAATCTTCTTTTTATCGAATCGATGGCATAGACTATACTATTGTGGCCCAGAACTCAGCCACGTCGACCGCGTCACTAGTTCCTGAAGCGTGCAGGTGTTAGGGCACGTAGGACTCAATGTGAGATGGGCCATCGTACGATCTTTTAAACGAAATCTTTAGTTAGTCCGAAAATCTCCAACTTGAACAAATTGTTCTTACTCCGGCCCACTTGTGTCCGAATTTTCTTGTGTCAATTTAATATCTTCCAAATAGGCCATGGCAAATCGTGATCAGAAGAAAATCTCTCACAAGGCAGGACAAAGGTAGATGGTACTTTTTCACGCCAAAGGTGCTTATATACGGAAGAGAGAAAAATACGACTGACGTCATTGTCACAAACAATCACAAACAATGGTCTTTTTAAAGTAATCTCTGTACATTTTGGCCCGATCAGGTGGTTTCGAGAGCACCACGATCAACTAACTCCCATAGAAAAGACGTCTCTATGGCAACGAGCGCACCTTGTCAGCGGTGGCCTGCTTAGCATAGAACCAGTGCATAGAGAAGATGCTGGGAGATTCGTCTGCTGGCTGAATAACACTGTTGGAGGTGAAGCTGTGCACTTCATGCTTTTTGTTACAGGTAAATGCTTTTATTACATTTCTGAAAAAATTATAACATTCGTAAGTATTTTTTAGGGATAATATTATTTGATCCTCAAAGATATAATTGATATATTGTAAATGAGCACTTTTTAAACAAACGATATTTTTTGTAATTATTATACAAACATCAAATACAATCAAAGACAAAAACAATCTCCTCCTTTTTTGAAGTCGTTAAAAATTATTACTCGGTAACACGGTAGACGTTAAACTTTTGAGACTTCTAATAAAATCGTTATAAATGAAATTAAAAACTACTGTACTTTGTTTATTTATATAGATTTGAAGGGATAACATATTTCAAAGACTTAATTCCCCATGACAGATGTCCAAAATGGTAACAGCCTTGCCCCTTGTATGGTTAAGCTAAGACTTTGGGCAAGGTCAGCCTTGAGGCTCTTAGTTTGTTTTTTAATGTTCTAATATAAAGTCGAAATGTCTCGAGTAAGAAGTTTTGGTATTTTTGGCTTTTTAAAAAAATTCAAAGTTTTATAGCCATCAGGAGAGGATTTCGATTCCATATAAAACCATTAAACATTATAAAAAACGACCCCAAAAAGTAGGTGCTTTTGGTTTCGTATTTTATAATGTAAGCGAGGTTTAATAAAAGTGCCTTTAAAACTTTTATTTAACCTCGTTACACATAACTCAGATTGACTAGGTATTCATGAATGTTCTAACCTAATAGCCTTTAAAATTCATAGCGTCTACGCGTTTAGCCAAAAAATTCTCAATTTTACTTACGTTATAATGACTAACGTGACCATTATTTTTTTCCTCAGAGCGAGACGCCTGTAAATTTATTGTTGTTTTAAATATAAAAGACACGTTTATGACAGATACGAAACATTTAATGATAAGAAAGAAATAAAATTATTGTCTAATAAATAAAAAATTTCAAAAAAGAACTAGTCTTGCGTAGTCTGGTGCTCGAAGTGTAGTTGGCTGGCTTAATATATTTTTCGCTTTTGCGCCATTTTTTTTCTCAATTTATTATTACGTGTGTTCTGTTTTGTGAAAGGGACACTATTAAGCATTTTGGGGACAGCGCTCAAAGCGAACATATGGTCACGCTAGCTATTACCTAACTCACATATAAGTGGTGTTGGTATTATCATACAACCAATTTATATTCTTACAGAACCAATCTCCGTCCGTATAAAACCAGAATTTCTTCGAGCAAAACTGAACTCTGATGTCAGCTTCGAGTGCAAAGTAACTGGCCATCCTCTGGAGACGAAATATTGGGTTCATGATGGAAGAATAGTGAAACCTAACGAGAGACTGAAGATCTCTGAAGACGGATTACGACTACATATCAAAAATGTGCAAAAAGATGATCAGGGAATATATCAGTGCTTTGCGAATAATGTGAGGGATCAAGGTTATGCAACAGCTGAATTTTTAGTTGATGGTAAGTTTGTCAAATATGTAAGGTCTCTTTGTAGTCAAAATTAATGGTTTGTTAATACAAAGATCAAACACTAAGAAAAATTCTTTCGACCCGGCTGGATTCGAGCCAGCGCCTTCAGCATACCGCGCCTGATGCTCTCTCAACTGAGCTAAAAAAAGCTTCGGAACGAACCTGTTGGCCTTACGAATTGTTGTATGTTATTGTCGCAGATCTTTGTTTTTTGGTTTTTAAGGACTATTTGCCGGAGCGCCATTTTAAGTTAATTGAATATCACGTTATCTTACTACCATGATATTCAATTATTTTTTGTGAAATTACTCCTCTAGTTTGTTATAATAATTGGTACAAATATCAAACACTAGGAAAAACTCCTACGATCCGGCTGGTTGAAAACCGGATTGAAAGAATATGTTCCTAACAAACTAGTAGTAGGAGTAATTAAACACAAAAAAATTTAATATCGTGATGGTGAAACATTCGAGTAAATTTTGAATATAAACCGGAATCTTATTATAGAAGCGTATTTGACACTGCCCCTTATGAGAAACTACAAATAAATTAGATACTTATTCTTCTCATCATCAGTTACATTTTCATAAATTAACTGCGACGTTAGTGTAAGAATTTTAATTTCTTTTAACTCTAGAGACAGGGCCCAGATCGTAAGTTGCCCTAAAACAGCACGTTTTTGCAGGACAAATATCCTATTAATATCGGCGATATTACACCAAAACAAAATGCCGTGAATGATTGCAAAGTAATCTTAGTTAAAGCCTTTTTGTTGGTAAATACAAAATAATAAATGAAAGACGGTATATGTGTATTATGTTACATTGAAGAATTACTCGTCTACCAATTACACGAAAAAATTGTTATTAAAGCTTAACTATGAACAGACTTCACCATTTGCTAAATCTGTGTTAATTTGTCGTCATGTTGTGTTGTATATATAATAAATAAATAATACGTGTAAATAGATACTAAGTTCCAGCTGTGGCAAGCACAAAATATTTACTCGTGCATAATTCTTCATTTTTAAATCATGTTTGAAGAATCTCCAATTTCTAAGAAGTATTGCATTCTTTTCTACTTCATACTTAAGACTCGATACTATCTCAACTCGAATTATTTCAGAAATCGCTTTATTTCAGATTTTTTTTTTTACAAACGAAATTAAAGCCATTTGAAAAATGTATATCGCATACTGTGCGTATTCTATTTAGTTCAGTTGATATAAAAAAACCATTGGTATATATAAAGCACCTAATAAATACAGCGGTTTTTACATTGACTTTTATGTCAAATTTCGAAGTTAGTGCTTTTTTTCCATAGTGAAAATTTTTGGGAATCGTGTTTTCACACAGTATTGTAATCAGAATACATCCTCAATTTCACTACATGTTTTTTCCAAAGTTATTGATTCAACGCTTTCACTGTCATGACAGTGAATCATGCGGAATCAACAAAAGCCATTTGAGGTTGTATATACTCTTGCGCGCTAAATACTGTAAAAAGACTGACTATAATATAGACTACAGTGCTACAACGGCATTCAAAAAGCCACTATTTGCAGGGTCCGAGCGCCGACGGGAGTCTGCAAACCGCTCGCGGCGGACTCCTTACGCCAGAAGTAACCACGACGCCGCAGCGGACTGGAACTTCACAGGGAACAGAGGTATGTTTACTTTCAAGCTGTTTGTTTTCAGTGTTTTTGAATTCATGTTAAAGGCATACAAAAGTTAGTACAACATCTTTGCTTCTAAAGTTATATGTTGCAGAATCATATTGCATAATTGTATGAGAACAATGAAAAGGTTGGTCACATCTGGCCAAACTTTATGTTCAGTCGTGTGGTCAACTTTATCCGAACACAGTTGAAGCTCATGACCAATCTTTACGACCCGTACACGATTTTTTGACATCACATACGTGGTTCGAATCCCAAAGTAAGTAACCAAAAGCTTGTTTTTGCATTTTATTATGGTAATCAGAAAGAACGACGGTACCACAAACACCCAAACTCGAGACAATATACAGGGTGTCCCAAAAATAACACGCCAGAGCGATACTGTGAGTAGGTTCATACAATTTTTTTTCACACTAGCTATTCAAAGTTAATGTTTAACTTTTTACAAGGGTACAAGGTATACCAAATTAATCACTTTTTTCATAGTTTATGATATTTCTCAGTAAAATATTAGTTGCTGTACCTGGAAAAACTATTCAAAATACTCGAAAAATATAAATAACAACCATCTGGAGCTAACCATGGCAATAATAGCATAAAACCCAACAAAGAGTAGAGTTTTTGCAAAAAAAACAAAAAGGGTCTATATCTCGAAAACTACTACTTTTACTAGGGTCAAAATATTTTTTTCTGGTAGGTATATAGCTCACCTACCCACAGTGTCGCTCTGGCGTGTTATTTTTGGAACACCCTGTAGAAAAGTTAATCTTCTACATTGACCCAGCCGGGAATCGTACCCTTGACCTTAAATGTAGCGACATTATAAAAACTCATGTGCAAGGCACTCACACGAACATGGAGGTCTTCATTTTTATATATTTCTTTTTTACCAATGAGTAACGGTGATAGATATGACACAATAGTATATACAACTGAGATCCACACGGCAATGTTACTTTGACAATGAAAACAAAGGCAGTTTATCTTCATTAAATGAAAGACAACTATCTATATCTGAAATATAATCTTATACTTTTCTACTTAGGGACTTACGGACGATGTCATAAACTTAGGAACTTTATTAAACACAAAAGGTAGGCAAACTTGTGACGCTCAGTTACAGATACGACTTTGTTTCCGTCGAACAAGTTTTGAAATTATATTAAATATTAAACAATAACGAAATAAGTTTTGAGATAGGCTTGCCTTCTGTAGGTCTAACTTAGTATAACACAATAGGTAACTTGGTTATATGTGCTCTTTATCCTTGTAGGAATATTCCCGTCTGGCGATTTTGTTAGGATTAGTGAGATTGAAAAAACGCATGGCCGCAAAATATTTATATTTTTATGTTCATATTATTGGGATATATTCATAAAATCGAATAGCAATAACTAAAAAGAATAAAAATATAATATTATATATTCATCATAACTTTAAAATACCAAGAAGAAGATATATATATTTATTTTAAAATGAATGTATATTTGTCCCCTATGCATTGTATTCATTCGATTGCGATAAAACTTTCGTGAATTGTTGTGCCCAAGTTTATGAAGTTAAATCCCACAGCTGGGCACGAGTCTCTTTTAAAAAGAGGGTCTAGACCATTTTATGGCATTGCAGCGCATACAGGGCACACTAGTAAACTGTACATTGTTCGTTCAATGAAGCCTCATGTGATCATAAGTCAGAGTGCTTTTAATACATGAAAGTCATAAAAATAATACCACACATTATTTAATAGTTACTACGTAACAGATACATCACTCTCATACAAAATCGAATATAACTACGCTATAATAGCCTACTTAATCTGACTAATAACACCAGGCGCTCACTACGAGGAAAAAGGAACCTAAGCTCGCGCTCAGAGAGATGAAACTAACGTTGCCCGCCGTGTACAATCGTGAGAAGCCTTAGATAGTATGAGCACTTGCGCCGACGTCGGCGCACTCAGCATAACCTTGAGCGAGTGACGGAGCCCTGATAATACGAACTATTATAAAACAAATTATGTATATGTGAAATTTTATAACTCTCCCATTGAAACATAAGAAAGTCCGACTTATTTCGTTCGTAGAATATTTAAACCTCTCTCTTGAAAAGTTGTACTTTTGCAAATGTGGCCTTATTACATCAATAGTATTATAACGTCAATGTTTTGTAGAGACAAAGTCAAATAGTCAAAAAATCATTATTCCATAGGTAAAATTTTTACACATGAAAACGTCATTTTTAAGCTACTTTAGAAAAGACGAAAGCGCCATTTCGAAAAAATTTCAGCGCAGCATGTTTTAGTTTTTCACGACTGATTTATAATATACATAACTGCTTTAAATTCAATTTGAAAACTTAAACTAAATTAAAATCAAAATTAAATTTTAGAACAGGTCGTAAATATTTTAAAACAGTATCTAAAACCTAAAACATGCTGAAAATTTTTCGATATACTGCTTTCGCTCTTTCCACAAAATACTGACGATATATTCTTTGGTTGCTTCTCATTTGCAACCCATAAATAGCATTAGTTATTGTGTCTGTTGTGCATTAGCTTAATTTATTAGTCACCACACTTATCGACACAGAAGCGCATTAAACCGAACAGAATAAGATTTATATGCCTATGTAATGAGAGCGAAAAAGAAGTGCGTTTTCAAGCGGAAGCGAAACAGGCAACATCTTTTTTGCTTTTATTGCATAAAGCTTTTTCTTACTGGCTCATGGCCAAACCGATTCCGAGTTAATTAGTTGCACATGAAACCAAATATTGTCCTATGTCGTAGACGGTCGTAACTCAAAATTGTAAATTTAATAAAAATTGTAATAGGAAAATAATAATAATTTTATTTACTCACACAAAGGCAAAATGGTAATTAATACATTATTAGTTAATAAAAATATAGAAACTTTCGTGAGAGTCTGGTGTTCGTACAAGGATTCCGTGTATTTTTTTTACACTACATCGTTTTGCACTAGGGAAACCCTATGTCGCTCGTGATATAAACCACAAATTACACCCAAACTCAGGAGAAAAATCAATGTAGGCCATACCAATATTTCTCCCGGCCCGGGAATGGAACCTGGGACCTACGCGTGGCAGTCCGGCAGCGTATGACGGATCACCAGACCCTCGTTTCGACTTAATAAAAATAAAAAGATTACCGCTGTTAGCTAAATATAGTAAATTAAAAAGCAAAATAAAATCCAGCGTGTGTTTTTCATTGTATGTGATATATGTGTAGATGTGTATGTGTGAGTGTGTGTTTGTGTGTTTAGTGTGTGTGGTATAAGTCTGTAATAGTTTGCAAGTCACGCGCTTGTTCTATTGGAGCACTAATAATAGAAATACTATTTATTTATTTATTTATTGATTTGATACACGAAACACTTTACTTTCAATGATACTCCAATCAATATTACAATTTATGGTTTTAAAATAGGATGTAAACCTCAAATATGTACAATACAACATGATTATTGAACTTGTAAAGGCAATATTAAAAAGTAAGCAGTATACAGTGTCTTTTATATGTTTATGTGGATAAAAATTCAATAATATACAAAAGCTTAAAATGTAGCGGAAATAAAAATACTAACGATGATTAATGATAAGACGAGGCGAAGTGGTTCTAAATACTGTTACGAAATCAATAGATGTTATTGTCGAAAACATCATTGAGACCTCCAGATTCTGTTGTTATTAATAAATTATAGTTTCGGCACATTCTCGTCAAGGGATTGTAAAAGGAAGTATTCACAGTACACATGTTTTATGGCGACGGGGATTTGGCTTAATATTAAAGTTTGTGTGGGGTAAAAGGTTAGGCGAAATGACATTGTTATGTATTAATTTATGCAAATCCAGAATATTTTACGTCTACCATTTGAAAGTATATAAAATTAATGAATGAAACCAATAATATATCATTTACAATAAATATTATGTATAAATAATCATATTATTCGCAATAAGATCCGTTCCGATAAGTGTTTATTTTTAAATTTTCGAATCGTGTTTTCTCAATTTCACAATGTTGAGTTACTACAGTATATAGATAGTTTCATGTGCGAATAATGTGGTAGCTTCCCTTTTTCACATTACTGTTATGTGTTGTCGTTGTAATTTTTTATGTTCATTATATATTTCTAATCCAGCCGGATCGACAGAATTTTTTTCTAAGTGTTCGATCTTTGTATTAATAATCAAAAGAATTGCTTAATATTTTTTCTTAATAAAGACAATCTATAACATTAAACTGTTCAAAGTCAGCATCCGATGTTCAAAACATTTTGAACTCCTTTGTTATTGAACACAATAGGAATAGGTATTGTCGTTTGGAAAGTTTTAAAATAATAAAATTAGTAGTTATTATAATATCATGTTTATTGAATATCACGATGGTTTACTACCATGATATTCAATTACTTTTGTGAAATTACTACTCTAGTTTTGTCGTAATTAATTATACATAATAGAATAATAACGCACACACTCACCATAGCTCCACACTAGGGAGACCCTGTGTCGCGGGTGCCATGGACACACACATAGACAATCACAAATGACACCCAAAGTCATAAGAGAAATAAATTTAGGCCATACAAATATTTCTCCCGATCCGGGAATCGAACCTGGGACTTCTGCGTTGTGCAGTCCGGCATGGTAACCGTTCGGCCACGGAGGCAGTTGATCGAACACAAAGAAAAATTCCTTCGATCCGGTTGAAAACGGATGAGCTACCTCGCCCCGACATAGCCCAGTTATGGCGAGAACAATAATAATAATAATAGTAACTGTTATTTTAATATAAAGTTTATTGAATATCACGATGTTTTACCATGAGATGCCTACAATTATTAATAATAATAGAATGCTATCTAAAGCTATAAAGCGGGATCGAAGAGTTTTTTTCTAAGTTTTCGATCTTTGTATTAATAATTATAAAAAAGCGATTCGATTAGATGATTTATTTTACATCAAGATT